CTAGCCAGGCAGTTTGTACGGCTTTACCTTTTTTGCATCTTTTCTTCTAGTATTTCTCCTCCCTTTTTGATTTGTCTACATAAAATTGCAGTAGAACGTCCCATCTTAGCATGTAAATATCTCACTTATATTTTAGTCTGGCAGCTCATCCCAGACATTTGCCAGTTGAATCTGAGTATCTTCTTAGTGAAGGCTCTGCTTGGACCTGGACCAGGAAGCTGAGAATGGAAGCAGCTGGGGAAATTAGGCAGAAAACATGAATCCAGAGGAAGAGTGACTAGATAAGGAAAACAGTATGTATGAAGGGAATGGGGTGTGTGTATTTAAATTAGAACGTAGTTGCTACCTGAAGGAGTTTCAGTTGACTGGTCAAATGAAACTGGTCAAGTTACAACTGGAACTGCACTGCCTTTGTCATGGTTAGTATGTTAAGAGTCACCTGTGAGTGCTCCTCTCCTGGTGATACTAATTAGTGCATTAAGAGCTGTCTGTAAGCCGAAACCGGTTTGGCTCAGTGGATAGAGCGTTGGTCTGCAGACTGAAGGGTCCCAGGTTCGATTCCGGTCAGGGGCATGTACATTGGTTGCGGGCACATCCCCGGTAGGGGGTGTGCAGGAGGCAGCTGGTCGATGTTTCTAGCTCTCTATCCCTCTACCTTCCTCTCTGTAAAAAAAAATCAATAAAATATATTATAAAAAATAAAAATAAATAAATAAATAAATAAAAAACTGTCTGTAAAAAAAAAACTACTTTAGCCCTGGCTGGTGTTGCTCAATGGTTAAGAGTATTGGCCCATGCATCAAGGGTCTTAATTTCGATTCCCAATCAAGGGCACCTACCTGGGTTATAGTTCACTCCCTATCCCTGGTCAGGGTGCATGCAAGATGCAACCAGTTGATGTGTCTCTCTCATGGAAGTTTCTCTCTCTCTCTCTCTCTCTCTCTCTCTCTCTCTCTCTCTCTCTCTCTCTCTCTCTCTGTGTGTGTGTGTGTGTGTGTTTATCCTCAGGTGAAGATTAACAAAAACAAACAAACAAAACCCTATTTTGCATTTGCATTGAATGACTGCTGTAGGTATTTTTTCCCTTAAAATGTTATAGGTAGCCCATGCAGTCACCTGTGAAGTGATGTGTAATGCTTCATGAATCACAGTATCTAAGTTGGTGAGACTACCTAGCAATTTATCATCAGTTAAGACCCAAACAGTGTTCTTAGTAAGGTCCCTGTAGGCATGTAAACTCTGCATTGTTTTTGAGAACAGAGAAGGGCTGGTTTGGGGGAAATGTAGAAAGTAGTGCCTCAGGCTCCTGTGGCTTTAATGCACAATATTACAGCTTGACAGACAGAATGAAATACTTGCTTCAGAGCCTTCAGTAGAATTGGGGGGGGGGGGGGGGGGGGATTTTTTTTTTTTTTTTTTTTTGAAGAATAAAGCATTATTTTCAGTGACTCCTTGAAATCACCAGAGTTTATAGGCTACCACATTGGCTGCTGTATTGGTTCAGTCTTCAAAAAATAGCAAAGAACCTTAGGGGAACTGCTTCCAAACTTTTCCATTGTCTCTTCCATTTCCCTTCCGCTTCATCTCTCACCCACCACCCCACACACACATCACACCAACACTAACCCCCTTCATTTTAATTCTTATTGACTATGTCAGTTCCTGCAGTGCTCCTGAATTTTCTCACCTCTGCCTCCTAATACCCAGTATACTCTGCTTAGAACATTTTCTTCCCTGTTTCCCACTGGTTGTTCATTCTTCAGATCTCAACTTAATTGTCACTTGCTAAATTTAGGAACACAGCCTTGGTTCCATAAGCCTCTATATGGTCAGAGGCAGAGCTCTGCTCATTATAGTTTCTCAGAGACTCAAACTAGTAGCAGAGGCTTCATCTCTCATGTGATTCCATGATAGGCAATCAGGATAAAAGGAGTATGGTCAATCATACAGTGACTCTTATGAAAGCTCCTTCCAGAAAACAATACATTTTATTATTTTTATCTACCTCACAATCCAATGGGGAGACAGCTAAGGAAGAAAGGGTAGAAGGGATTGTGACAGTGTGGGAAAATGACAGAAGGGTATAGAGCAGTGGTTGGCAAACCATGGCTCGCGAACCTCATGTGGCTCTTTGGCCCCTTGAGTGTGGCTCTTCCACAAAATACCACGGCCTGGATGAGTCTATTTTGAAGAAGTGACATTAGAAGAAGTTTAAGTTTAGCTGAAACTGGTTTGGCTCAGTGGATAGTGTCGGTCTGCGGACTGAAAGGTCCCAGGTTCGATTCCGGTCAAGGGCATGTATCTTGGTTGTGGGCACATTCCCCGCAGGGGGTGTGCAGGAGGCAGCTGGTCGATGTTTCTCTCATTGACATTTCTAGCTCTCTATCCCTCTTCCTTCCTCTCTGTGGAAAATTAATAAATATATATATACATATATATATATTTTTTAAAAGTTTAAGTTTAAAAAATTTGGCTCTCAAAAGAAATCTCAATCATTGTACTGTTGATATTTGGCTAATGAGTTTGCCGACCACTTGGTATAGGGAATGGTGCAAAGTAAAGCAACAGAATATTCTTTCAAGCATGCTTTCTTTTATTCATGCATGCAGCAAACATGGATTAAGTACCAGTGAAGTATCAGACCTTGGAGACATAATATTTGGGAAGACAATGGCTACTCTACAGAATGTAGTGTGCTGGGGAGGATCTTTCAATCTATATTGTCAACATGAGTTGTTTTTTGCTTTTTTTTTTAGTTTTGCCTTTTTGTTTGTTTGTTTGTTTGTGTTTAATTTTTGAGGGTGACTTTTGAGCATAGAAAAGACCATATGTAGCCCTGGCCACTATGGCTTAGTTGGTTGGATAGTAGCCTGTATAGCAAAAGTTGGCAAGTTTGATGCCTAGTCAGGGCACATATCCAGGTTTTGGATTTGCTCCCTACCCCAGTTGTGGCACATATTCCCATCAATTACCTACAGAAAAGATCATCTGTAGCTAATTTGTGGTCTAAAAAATTAAAATATAACATATCAAAATTACATCATGTAAGAGTTTTTAACACAAAAGTAAGCAAACTTTTAAAAAGTCTATTTACATCTCCTATTTGTAAGTTTAGAAAAAATTAGCATTTACTTAAAAGGGGATTTTTGGCTGAAACCAATTTGACTCAGCAGTAGAGCGTCAGTCTGGGACTGAAAGGTCCCAGGTTCTATTCCGGTCAAGGGCATGTACATTGGTTGCAGACACATCCCCGGTAGGGGGTGTGCAAGAGGCAGCTGGTCGATGTTTCTCTCTCATCAACGTTTCTAGCTCTCTATCGCTCTCCCTTCCTCTCTATAAAAAAATCAATAAAATATGTTTTTTTTAAAAAGGGACTTTTGCAGTTTAATTACATTTCTTTAAATATCTTAAACTGTATTTCCACATTTAAAATATTTTCTGTTTGAAGTACTTTAGCTGTTTGTCTAATAAAAATATTCTAAATTTCAAAGTAAGTATATACATTTATTTAATAATAAGTTAAATTAAAACATAAGTATTGTTAATCTTAGATTATCTTTACCATTTACAAGGCTATTAAAGTTATCTTTTTGCCTTCCAACATAAAATTAATTATTCAATTGCATATTTCAAATTGAACTAGCAATGCTAATCTAGTAATCTAATATGGTAAATTCTCTTAATTATTGCAATTATTTTAAAGACTAAGTATACACAAGTTGTCTTCAAACTTATATAGAATGAAAAATACTAATTTTGTTGGTTTGATTTACTTTATTTCTGTACCTAACTCTTAATTTTATATAGTTAAAAGATAGCTGCTAAGGAATATTATGTCATCCCAAGCAAGATGGAAGGGAGAGTTATATCTTGGTCACTTAGGTTGCTTATCACCCAGAGAGCTTGGGCTGGCATGCAGGAATTAATTACAGATGACACAAATTGGATCCCCTGAGCCCCAGTTATAGTTGCTGGAAAGGAGCCCCCAACGTTTATAAAAGGGATGGTCTCAAAGCCTTGGGTGCTTATATTTAATTTTTACATAAATGAATTCTCTTACCTGGCTTGTAATTGCTACATCCTTATCAGGGTATAACTTGTTCACTGCTTGGTTTAGTGTCCATTTCTTTGGCTATTATAAGACAATGTACTATTATCTTTTGTCAGAGTCTAAAGTTAGAACCAGATCTATCTAGTACTTTATATCCAACTTTCATTCTTTTGTAAACACTGACCATTATGGTCTGATTTGAGTCTACAAGCTTCTGTTCTTTCGATGTTATTCCTGCTTGACAGGGTCATAGTTCTTGTCCTAACTGGTTTGGCTCAGTGGATAGAGCGTTGGCCTGTGGACTGAAGGGTCCTGGGTTCGATTCTGGTCAGGGGCATGTATCTTGGTTGCAGGCACATCCCCAGTAGGGGGTGTGCAGGAGGCCAGCTGATCAATGTTTCTAACTCTATCTCTCTCACTCTCTCTCTGTAAAAGAAAAAAAAAGAAAATAAGTAAATAAATAAATAAAATAAAAAATCAATAAAATATATTTAAAAATAAAAAAATTTAAATAAAAGGGTCACAGTTCTTACAGATAATAAAATGGCATCCAGTTTTATTCTACATATCCCTTGTGGCTTCATCTGGCCTTTGAGTCACAACACTGAAGTTATATTCCTGACATAGATAGGAGAGACCTTTGTGATAAACTTAACAGGATTTGTCTGTTCTCAGCATCCCAGGTAGGACATAGCCATGATCTAGTATCATTTTGGGCAAGTCATTTAACTGCTTTGGGTCCTAATTTTTTTCATTCTTAAAATGCAAGAACTTTTTTAGTTCTAAAATCCTATTATCTTTTAAATTCTAATTTAATGTAGTCTGAAATATTGGTGTTTAACTGTGATTTGTTTAGGTATTGCTCAAGAATTAACAACATTTAATCTTTTTAGAAATTTTTATAATTATGGAGAGCAGTGAGGTAATAAGTGGTTTTGCTTCCTTTCAGATCTTCGATGATGCATATAAATCCCAGCTCAGTTGTGTAGTTGTGGATGATATTGAGAGACTGCTTGGTGAGTCATTACATTTGCTATTGTACTATCTTTGCCATTATAGCCAATGTCTCACAGCTTATAAGAGGAAAAATAACAGGTATTTATAAATTATAGGCAATAGGAATACCTTTCTTTGTCCTATAAGGAAATATAACATTATCTCTTCTCTCTTTAGTTAATGATGGCATTCATGTTAAGTATGCCTGTGACTATAACTCCATTATAAGTTGTTTTCTTGTAAGACTCCTGCCCTATAATATTTTCTATCCTCTACAGAGTTCCCTGCCCATAATAAGTGATTAGTAATTTTTATTGAAGGATGTATTTTGTGCCTGTAGCTCAGAGGTTTCACTTATGAACTTGACGGAGCTAATGAAAGAAAGTAAGGTTTACGACTAGAGTGGCAGGCTTTCTGTTACCTCAGTTTCTGCTCTTATAAAAGAGATATAAAAGGGATATAAAAACTGTATCCCTTCCTTCCTTATCCCATGGAGTAATTGTGAAGACAAAATTTATATAATAATGTTGAAAACATTCTGAAAGTTAAAAGTGCTCTGTGGTAATTTTAAAAAATATTTATTAAACATTTATACGCATTCTTACAGAATACTGAGGTGAATAAGTCCCTGCACTCAACTCAAAACGTGTAATCTACAAATAAATTCCAGAAGAGTATTATTCTTACATTTTATTTCATTGCATAAATTAGATAATTCTGGAATAAACTTATTATAATAGTGGCTCAGGTTGTTGTAATAAACAGTGGAAACTGAACCCACCTAGTAGCTTAATAAACCTCCGAAAATACTATCTAACATGTGCCTGATTAATCCCTTCTTCCTTAAGCTATCCACACTGGTGTAGAAATGATTTCAAATTACCTATGCTGACTACATTTTCCCCATGATTTTCACACTTGCCTTAGGTCCTCTGTTATTTATTTTTCTGTTTCCTATGGCAATATTTGTTAAAAAGCAGAGCAGGTATATATGTGAGGTCTTTTTAAATTGATAGTTTTATCTAATGACCTGGGTTTTTGGTCTGCTACTTTTAATACATTTTAGCCCAGTTTATAGGATTATTTCTTTAAAAAGCTTTTAGGCACATACTCATAGCTCTGTGTAAATTCCTTTATCTAAACACAATTGAAATGTGTGGTCATAGCAACACTACTATGTCAGGAATGTGTGCCCTCTGAGTATATTTTCACTCGTATGAAGTTATTATCTGTACTTGTTTGTTCATTTATTCACCAAACATTTGCTGAGCCCTTACTGTGCCATAATTAGGTCTCAGAAAAATAAGATGCTATCTGTCGTTGTAACATATATTGGCAAAAATTAATGCAAAGTAGAATGTGCCATTGTTCTGGATAATCAGAGAAGGGAAGGAACACTTTTGACTTCAGAGGGCTGATGCCTGAAGGTAGCTCAAAAGCACAGGGCATGGGTGCAGGTACAATAGATAGAGAAAGCTAAGGAGCAAGCATTGGTGCAAAATCTTGAAGGAGTAGTAGAAATTTAACAGTTAAAAATTTATTTTAGCAAGTTCTTTGTTCTTCACCATCTGAGGACCAATCTTAGTGGCTCTAACATCTTTTTAGTTATATTGAAGTACCTTTCATACATTATTATTCCATACCATTGCCCCTCTACCCATTTTCTAGTATGGTGTTTTGTTGCCTGTGTACTTAACTATATTGCCATAGTTTGCAGTAATTTCTTGGAAATGCTTAGTAAAAACACAGGCGGGGTTTTGCTCCCTTAAATAAACCTGTCTCTGAAAATGTCTACATGAACTCAAAATGTATATTTAGAAGCTTTTTAAAAAATTTACAAGAAAGAGTTGTTATATAATATTTTATGCATTCAAATTATTCCAATATTTGTTTCTTAATATCATTAGTTTGCTCTTGATGTAGAAAAATATGAATGTTTGGAATACGTGCATATGTGCATCAAATCCCTAAGCATAGTAATATTTCTCTTTCAGATTACGTCCCTATTGGCCCTCGATTTTCTAATCTAGTATTACAGGCTCTTCTTGTATTACTGAAAAAGGCTCCTCCTCAGGTAAAAATAATATAAGGAACATCTTCACAGAGTTTTTCCAGTAAATTGAATATAATGGTATACTCTTTCTAAATAAGCAGGTTATAATAAATGCATAAAATTCTTTTGAGAGATTTTGAAAGGTCTTCTGGTTTGGCCTTCTGTCTTAAGGTAAATGATTTTCTTAACAATCAGAGAAGTTTTTCATTCCTTTTCTGAAGGTTTCAAAATCTTCGTTTCTGTTAGCGTTCTGTTTTGTTTTTTAAGTTCCCCATCATATAACACATCTTTATTCCCTCTCGTTTCCTATGGGAGATTATGATATTAATGTGGAAGGGATTAAATACACGTTCTCATCTGTTTCCTTTATCATTTCATAGATTTTCCTGAGAATTTTTATTTGGGGAAATGTATTTTCTAAGGGCAGTTTTCTTTTTTTTCTTTTTTATAGATGAATTTGAGTTGTTTTTCTTGTGGCATGTGGCATATTTAAAGAGTGAGTTTATAGCCAGGATCTTGGTTCATGTGGTTACATTTTTATTGATGTGGCTATTGGAGACTAGTGATTTTGATAGTTTAACCCATTTAAAACTAACCTATAAGGGCTGGTTAACTATGTTAATTATGTAGAAGCTGCCAGAGCATGTTTGGCTATGACACGAATTCTCTTGATTGATTCTGTGTGCTGCAACCTCGAAGAAATACCAATCAAAGGCAGATACAAAGGGACTGAGTACTAACTTGAAAAATATCTTAGTGTCTGTATGGGATCTCATATTTGAAATTAGAGACATAGATTATATGGGAAATATTTAATATTAAGACGGTAAATCTAATTTAAATTATGTGTGTGTGTGTGTATATGTGTGTGTTGTATAGGGGTGTTACTACTAGAAGAAAGGACTTGTCTTGATTTTTTTATTGTTTTTTTTAATTTCTAGAATAGTAAAAATAAACATAACCTACAACAATTTTGAAATTTTATTACATATTTGCATTGTGAAAGGATTTTTTAATGTCTTTCCATAAACTATTATTCCCAGTAATTAGAGTTTTACTTAGACTTAGACTGAAGTTAAAGAAGTAAGAATATTTTTTCTTTCTCTGATTTCTTCAGTAAATATATAAATATATTCAAAGTTGCTAGAATGAAAAGAAATAACCTCAGTATATAAATACATCATATACCAAAAAATTCTTTTTATGAAATCAGCATTTTAAAAATTATTGATATGAGATTGGGAGAATTTTCCCAGGCATTTAAATTTACTTCTTGTAATATTTAATTTTTTATCTAAAATGAATGTATGGTAAAAATCATTTGGGAGAGAGAAGAAGAATTTTTCAATGGTATTTTTTAAACCGCCCATTCTTTGCATTGTTAAATACTATAAACCTAGTTGAGAATTAGCTAATTCAAAATGGATACTAATAAAAATAAACAAGACATACTAACAAATGACCTGCAACTTTTTTTTTAATCCTCACCCAAAGACATGCTTAGAGGGAGGAAGGGAGAGAGAGAGAAAGGGAGGGGGGAGGGGGGAGAAAAGAGGAGAGAGCGAGAGCGAGAGCGAGAGCGAGAGCGAGAGAGAGAGAGAGAGGAGAAAGAGAACCATTGACTGGTTACCTTCCATACAAAATGCAACTGGGGATCGAACCCACAACCCAAGTATGTGCCCTAATTGGGAATCGAACTAGCATCTTTTCCATGCACAGGATGATGTTCAACCAACTGAGCCACTCTGGCTGGGCACCTGCAACATTTTAAACACTCAGGAACAACTGCTTCTATTTTGTAAAAATAATTGTAAGATTTGTGATGAAAGAAACATTATCTTATACTCTTCAAAAAAAATTTTTTTAGTGTACCCTCATTTTGGTGGGATTATTTTACTGTTGCGGTAGTTTATATTTAGCAAGGCATGATTTAAGTGAAAAGATTAAAAAATAAGTAAGGTTCATGCTGAAACCAGTTTGGCTCAGTGGATAGAGCATCTGCCTGTAGACTGAAAGGTCCTGGGTTCGATTCCGGTCAAGGGCATGTACCTTGGTTGCATGTACCCAGTTGGAGGGGTGCTGGAGGCAGCTGGTCGATGTCTCTCTCTCATCAATGTTTCTGGTTCTCTATCCCTCTCCCTTCCTCTCTGTAAGAAATCAATAAAATATATTTAAAAAATAAAAACAAGTAAGGTTCAAATGTCCAATAAGTACATGCAAAGATATTCAGCATCATTAGCCATCAGGAAAATGCAAATAAGTCAGGTAATAACAAGTGCATATAGAAAAATTTGAAACCTTGTACACTGCTGGTGGGAATATAAAATCATGTGGCCTTTGGAAACTGTCTAGCAGTTCCTCAGGAGGTTAAACATAGTTACCATATAACCCAGCAATTCTACTTCTAAGTATATACCCCAAAGAAATGAAAATATATGCCTACCCAAAACTTGTACAAAATGTTCATAGCAGCATTATTCATAACAGCCAAAAAGTGGAAACAACCCAACTGTTCACCGAACAATAAAATGTGGTACATACAATGGACTATTATTCATCAATACAGAGAAATGAGTCCTCATACATGTCACAACAGGGCTGAGCCTTGAAAACATTATGCTAAGTCTAAGAAGCCAGTCACAAAAGACCACATATTGTATTATTCTATTTATATGAAATGTCCAGAATTGGCAAATCCATAGGGGAAGAAAGGAGATTTGTGAGTGATTTTTTCTAGGCCTGGGAGGGATGGATAGGGAGAATGCGAAATGACTGCTAATTGGTATAGGCTTTCTTTTTATGTGATGAGAATGTTCTAAAATTGATTGTGGTGATGATTTCACATATCTCTGGGTATACTAAAAACCATTGAATTGTACACTTTAAATCAGTAAATTGTGTTTTATGTAAAACATATCTCAATAAAATGTCACCGAAAAAAGAAAGTGGTTTCAGAAACCACTTAAGTGATGAAAGGAGGATTACATAAAGAGCTAGAAGTAAAGAGTGAGCACCCAGCGCACCTGGGCCATCTTGGAGAAATCCTAGAAACAGGGACTGGATCTTTAAAAAGGGATATGGAATGTATTTCTCTTAGAAATGAAAAGGGCATAGAAATACATAGAAATAAAAGATAGATCTGGTTGCATTAGTGATTGGAAATGCAGGGAGTCTCATTTAAGAGAATATCAGCCTGTCATTAATCAGAATTCGATGGCTCTGACCTGGACTGCTAGATGACACTCCTGTATAAGTGAATCAGTGGCAGAAGAAATTAATGTTTGAAATATTTCTTATTGGCTCATATTTAACAAAATGAAAATGTGCTTTCTCTGTACCACCTTGCTTTTTAAAATTAGTTTGTATTCTCTCAGGAAAATAGAAAATTTTCAAGCTGATCCAATTTCAAGAATATTTGTCATTCTAGAGTAGAAGCATTTAGCTTTTTTATGTTTTTTAATTAAATATTAAAGTATATAAATTTGAATTTTGTAGAAATGCATAGACTGGTAGAAAGCTATTATTTTAATACTGTCAAGAAAATGGAAAGGTTGCAAGCATTTTTCTTTTTAAAAAAGCAACTGTATATGTATACGATAGTATAATCATATCAGCCACAGAATCCCTAACTTTGCATTTGTTATAATTCCTGCTTTCACAGAAAGATTGTGTGCATGTTTGCACATGCTCAAATAAAAGAATCCCTTCAGGGGCACTATGTTGTTATGTTTCAAGATATTCTCTTTTCTACTTCTCCCCCTCCCCCATTCCCCTGTTTCCTTGTAAATTGGCTTATTAAAACTGATTCACAAGCCTTCCTTTTTTCCCTTTGTGATTGCTTTGGTCTTGGATTTTCAGTGTAGGACTAAAAATTCAAGTCAGATTTCAGTTACCAGGATAATTTTCTTTTAAAATTTTTCTAAGTCAATGCATAGATTTTTAATGATCTGGTATTCAGTGGATGTGCTTTAAATTTAGCTGGAGAGTTAATTTCATGATTGATTTATTAGCCCTTTGAAAGTATAAAAAGTGGTATCCATAGTTCATGAAGACTGAAAAACATCATCACATTTTGTTTAGCATCTTTTTAAAACCAATTAAAAGCTTTTCTAAAATGGATTGAACAGGAGAAAATAAAACATGTTCCCTAGGTCTTTATTTCAATCAAGTTTCCCTGTGTTCTGCAGGAGAAGAGATCGAGGGGGGATAGAAAAATTGAAAAGGGCTGTCCCAGCAGGGAGCCACGCCAGAGAAAAGGGCTGCTCTGAGAACTCAGCAGCAGCAGCTAAGAAAGCTCCCAGCCTGCTTCATCTACATGCAGAGTCACACAAGGCATGGGGGTGCTCACCGTCACCACAGAGGTTTCACATGTGCTTCCCTGCTGATTCCTGTGAAAAGCTAACAATTGGCTTGGAGGGTAAAAGACCACTGCAGTTCACCCTCCCTGAGCTGGACGTACAATTTGTCCAGTGTTAGGAAATGTCCGGCTTAACAGTGAGAGGCTTGAAGACACCCCTCCTCCATGGAGAGTCCTAAAGCCAGCTCTTTTACTCCATGACATTGGGGCTCTTTTCAAGTTTCACAGATTTATGGAAGTTGAGGGGAATGTGCTTTTCACAATCAGGAGGATGAAAGCTTTAGTCTTAATGTCAAGGAAGCTGCAGACGTGAAGCGGGAAGGCCAGGTAAACCCTTCCCGCAACCCGCAGCCCCAGCGACATTATTGTTTTCCTTACAGATTGCTTCTGGTACCTTCTTCTTTGAGTGTGGGTGGGAGAGAGAGAGAACAAAGTGCCTGAAAAGGAACTCCTCAGGCTGTAAAGTGATATGATTTCCCAGTTTCCTCAACAAGTCTGACTTGACTGCTTTAACACTAGGTTTACTTGACACTTGCAGAAATCAAATTGGAAGACCACCATATATACCAGAATAGCCTTGTGATTTATAGAGAACCATTCCTTGTTCTGTTCAGTGCTTTCCTACCTTTTTCAGATCTCAGCATACAGAAAATGATAACCTTTG